ATATATATATATATATATATATATATATATATATATATAATTTCTCATCACGAATTGTGTGTATCAGTTCTACATTGCATCAGCTGACCACCCAAGCAAAATGGCAATGATCTTTATCCTTTTTAAGACATGTTATGATAACCCGTAGCTCCCTCCATAATTCAGATAGATTATGCATTGGTGGCTATGCATAGAAGTCAGGTATAAACCAACTCAGAAAATACCGAGCGCTGTCTAGATATAAAAACATTAATACAACATTCCTTAACTTGCCCTTCTGGACTCCCATGATTGTTAACTGGACTGCAGAATGTTTGATTAAAAACAAGAACGTGTCAAAGGTATTATTTTTATTCTGAACTGTTTACTGATTTTAGAATTATAATACTCTAAAATATTGTAGAATCATATTTCAACAGTTCAGCTCAACATGAAAATAGACACTACTGTAGATATTTCTATCCATGCTTTTCCAAATAGCATAAGACCGTACTAAAATACTAGTTACCACCGTCTTATAAAAAAAGGAAAAATGACCAGTCTTTTTTTCCACTTTGCATATATTTATTTACCCACAAATAAATATTTTAAACGGGTACTTAAGAATTGTTCCCAGAAAATAATGAAATGAAATAAAAAATTAAACAATTTTTTTACAATAGCTTCATAAATCAATAATGACTTTTACTAACAGTATTAAGATCACAGGATTTCAAAAAAGATTATTTTTTAAGTCTTAGATGAGGTTTTCCTTGAGATCTGAACATTTGGAAAAACCTGTGAAAACTGTCTTTTGATTGCTTGCAAACATAAATGAATTTTTAAAAAAAACAAATTATTTTGTCCATCCACTTCCAATCCATCCAAATAAAGTAACTGATATTTTCTAATCAAACACAGAATAAGCACGGTTTTATGCAGAATTGCTTTATATTCAAAGACTGTTGAATTCAGGAAGATCACGACGTAATCGTATTGCCTTTAATTTTTCTACTTTAATTTTTGCTCTCAAAAGCTCTTCTTCCAGTTGCTGTCTCCTTTTCAACCCATCCCTTTTTTCTTGGATATAGAGGCCAATTTTCCTTTGATTTTCCAAAATTATGTGATGTTCTTCTTTGAGCATTTGCAACATTTGTGGATCATACCCTCCACATGCTGGCCTAAATCGTTCTCCACTTTCAAGCCTAAAAAACTCATCTCGCCTGGGGATAGGCGATGGAGATAGCATTCTTATATCCACAGAAGACAGGGAAGTTGATGGAGATCTCTCCATGACATGGACCATATGCTGTTGATCTCTTTGCTCTAAGTTGTCCTGTGCTTGCAATTCAAGTATTAGTGAAGGTGGTGGCTTCACATCCTCTTCTTCTGGACCCAATTCCAGTGTGATAGCAGCAGGATGGGGCTCCAACATTAGCTGAGGAGAACTTGTAGTAGCAACTGTTTCTTTTGCCAGGGTAGCACTAAAACAGAGTAATATTTTAGGCATTAGAGAACAGAGTCTTCTCTAGCCACAAAAGACTGTGGACACAAAGTATCATTAACTGACATTACTGGGCCCATAAAAGCTAATAGGCAAACATGGTTAGTAATTGAGTAAAAGACTACTTGGAAAGTCCAGGACTTTTAAGCTAGACTGGGCAATTGAAAACTTTTCACAAGAAGGCAAATACTACTATAACTTACATTTTTACTATGAAAACTACATAAAGATGTCTATATAATTACCAAGAATCAAGTTCAAATCAAGGGAGCTGAATTTTTTAAACCAACCTGAGCTATTGTACTTTGATAAAAGGACAATCACCACAACTGTTTATGTGCATATGTGCTGCCAGAAAAAGAGAGAGTAATATCATGGAGCAATTACGTCTTAAATACTTCTTGTTTGTATAATTCTCTTCTCCAGGTGGCTTTCTTCCCTGAGTATTCTTTTTCCTGAAAACATGGACAAGAAGTCTATGGCTTTTCGGAAGCTGCAGAATTACAGCTCCCAGCAGGCAGGGGTAGCATGGCCAATAGTGAATCATGCTGCAAGTTGTAGTTCAGCAAGTTCTGGAGGGCCACAGGTTATTTCTCGCTGTCTTACAGTATTTATTTCCATATCTGCACTGCACATATCCTCCAAAATTGCTTGCTAGTCAGAAGGACCTTGAATATCATTAACCAGAGGGAGTCCACATAGGTTACTATTATTTGGACTCGTTCCAATCTTCCCGACCGCTGCAGAGGACTTCAGGGAATGTCAGGGACAGTTGCTCATCTGGAACTAGACTGAGAAGAGCACTTAGAAAGCTGGGAAGCTTTCAAGCATCTTCCAACCTAGCAGTAAGCCAGTGAAATGACCTTGCTCTTCCCAGAAGATGGTGGAAGGAAAGGAGACAGGAAAATCATCCTCTCGCCATACAGTGGCTTAAGATACACTTTGAAGATGGCAGCAGTGAAAAACTGAATACACTAGGATGGGTGGCATTATATTCCCAATCCCTTTCCTTCCTATGTTTTGTGGAATTACTCTTCATTAAAGACAAAAAACAATAAAGAGTTTTCCAGGGAATTAATGTATCTATTTTAAATGGAAAATCCTAGGAAGAAAAAATAAATAAGGTGCCTTTAAAAACACTTTTGGTCACTGGTAAATTTGAGAAGAGTTGTACATGCAGCCCTTAAGTCATAGCATGTTCATGTACCATTTTTTTTTTAAATAAAAGCAATTTTGGTATAACATAATTTAATCTACGCCTGCTTATTATTGCGCCAAAGGATCTTCCTGTTCCCACTACACAGTATAGATTTATCTAAAGATATAGTGAGAACCTCATTGTTGGACGAAAGATTTCCTAGACAAAAACTAAAAAGACAGATATTTTCATTTCCTGTCATTGCTGCTCCATTCAAAACCTCCCCTTTGAAATATTTGTTTTAAAATAAATTATTGAATGATTGATTATTCAGCTCCATTATTATCGCATGGCAGTTGTGGTTGTTCCTTCTGCTGGATCATATACTGCAAGTATACTCAATTCCTCTACAGAAAAGTGACTCTAAACTTCCTAACACTAAAGTAAGGAATATTGGTCAACGTCATTTTCTTGGAAGCAAGCTACAATCATTTTATCAGAATCTGCATGTATAAGTGCACGTCAGGACATTCAAAATGAAAAGATCCAAGCAGAGGTTTCTGATCACAGCAAATCAGCAGCTATGAGCAGTGGAGCATTAGTCATATGACCTTGTGTAACAGACAACCCACATAGAAAAACTGGAGTTTCATCTAATTAAGGCTGAAAACAGCTGATATCCAATTGAAATGCTAATATTCATCAGTAAACATTGCCAAGCAAAGTAAAATATCTTGGATTTAAAAAACTGCAACTTCCATACAATTTTCAACTGGGAAAAGGGTATGTCCCCCTTTTTTACTTGCACGGCAAGCTCATTTCCTGATCCATTAGTTTTAGCAGTTGGATTTGTCATAAATAAATATGGTATCTGGCAATGCACAAATTACGGCTGCAAAGAACCGTACCATGGGAAAATAAAGAGATAAAACCAAAGTGGCTGAGAAGGCAAAAGCTTTGTGGCTAGCTATCTCTGTAATACTCTTTTAAACAAAAAAAAATTGCCTTTTCCCTTCTTTTAAAGATCTACATGGAGGGATAATAGACAATTTTATTTTATTGAAATTTATCCCCACAAACCATATTTAGGACCACTATACTCATTTCTAATGGTTAATATTCCAGATATTGTACATTATTCTGTAACACTAGACTACTGCAATAATCATCTATACTGCATTTCAAAAGAATGTTTAAGCAATTGATCATTGTGGGGCTGTTGTTGTTTTGTAAAATTAATATTAGGTGCTACACAGCATCTAAGCAAGATTACTAAACAACAATATCTAACCATTAGTACTCAAGCTCAAATCTGTTACCAAGATGGTTCAATAAGTAGCATCTTTCAATCAAAGTGATGTTTGGCCCAACCCTTTTTAAACACATCTGCCTGAATAATCATTATGAAAGTCTCATATCTTAAGGATACTACTGCTTTTGTTTTTTTTAAGACCACTGTCCCCATTGAACTTAATACACTTTTGTTTATAAGTGCCGGACTACAAAACACTATTTTTGAAGGAGTATTAGGTGTGTTTGCCATCTTAAGTTATATATAAAAAAGCTGGGATAAAAATGAAATAAAACAAATCATGTTTTTGTCATATATCTTATCATGTAAGCATAGCTGATGCAAAATTCTTACATGAAAAGAACCTGTTATTGACATATCTTTATTTGACGTGCATCTTCCGTGGAAGTAATTTAGAGCACAGTACTGTTTAATGTCACCGGAGGCAGGGCAATAAAGGGAGGCAGGGAAAATCAAAGGCTGACTAGCGTGCCCATACATGCCAGCCTCTTCTAGACATTCTACTTAAGATTATTGTATTTATTTACGAAATTAATGATATAAATTTAAAACAGTTAGCAATGGGAGCCAGGAAAAGAGATCTTTCTTTTCCTTAAGGGTTTTTTTGAAGAAAAAAAATAATATCTAAGGGCACAGGGCAGACATTGGAAGCTTGCAGCAGAGAAAAGGGTAAAATCAAAGGGCCTGCAAGAAAGGTCAAACAGTTTGCCTGTTCTATGTCTGGCTCAAATCTAGACACGCTTCAATTTGATTAAGCACAAAAGAGCCTGCCCTAAAAATAAAAGGTTTTGTACAGCTGCAGCATCCTTCTCTGCCCGAACCTGAGCCTTGCAAACCTGTGCACGTTCTTTTTCTAAGTTTAATTACAACTTTATCTTTCTTCTGCCTTTACACAAGGCTAAAAATGGTTTTGAAAGCCACTTTGTATTTTTAAAAGGCAGAGTAAAATCGGCAGGTAAAATCGTCTAAAAAAGTCCAAGTGCAGTTTAAAATGTATTCTGCTCGGGGAGATTAACATAATCCTTGTCTAGGCACACGCAGGAGTGAGCTCCTTTGTTCTCCAACTCGACTTTATGTAGATTTTATCCAAAACAGGCAACAGCTTCCGTATGCAGGCAGATGACTGCAGTAACATACTACCTTAAATGTAGAACAGCCCTTTGCTTGGTCAATGTTTGAATGCTATGCCTATTAAAAGGGGAGGGGTAAAAGTTGGAGCTCCTATTTCACTTGGATTTTTTCTTAACCCTCACTTGCCAGAGGTCTGACAATAAGAGCCTTGAAATACAGCTGCAAGCTAAACTGCCCAATCGACCCCTCTTTTTGCAAATTCGAAAGACTGTTTTGAAAAGCTGACTTGCAGCATTCTTAGTTTTTTCTAAGCTAAAGCATTTAACTCAAACAAGGGCTGGAAGATGCTCCACTTGGCCAACCAAGCCCAGCATAAAAGGCAACTTACCATGGCAGATTATTCCTCTCTCTCAAACACACAGTGGAAATCTGAGGGATCATTTCCACAACTTTCTTAGTCGGTTCAGAGATGTAGCCTTTGTAGTCACAAAGGGTCTCCTTTTGCTGTAAGAGTTCCTGCTTGGCATATTCCTTGAGCCTTTTGTATAGTGTGCGCAGGCCCTGGGCAGTGCGAGGAGGGCGGTCAACTCCAATGGCATTGTAGTTATCAGCTATGATGTCCCAGCATTTGTTTTTTTCCACTATGACTGAATGTTTGTTGGTGTGTTCCTCGAGAATATTAACATATGGCTTGACAAGTTTCAGCAAATCAAGCTTTTCAGACAAAGTGAAATTCGAGGATCTGGCCTTCCCAACCATCGTCCTCTCCAGCCTGAAGAATAAGCAGTTCCTGAAATCACCACACAGATCCTAGCTCTGCTCAGCTCTTTTTCACAAACAGAAGAAAGATCAGGCTTAACTAGGCTTGTCTCATTTAGGCCCACGCCTACAGGGGAGGGTTTATTAAAATTCCTTCAGCTTAAGCTGACGCAGGTTCGTGAAATCTGGTTAAGCCAAGCCTGACCTACATAAGGCTTCAGACTGAAGGAGAAGAGAAGAGGGGGGTAGTGCGCACGCACAGGCATTTTTGTGCCAAAAAAACCCTACATTTAAACAGGATTGAAAACATAAAGGTTTAAAGATTAGCACGTTACCCTGCCAAATATTACCCAATTCATCCTGAGTTTACGAGCTTACACACATCTCTTTTGCTGATAGAAAAAAAAAGGAACTGCACAGAAGACTGGATTTATTCATGCTCAAGAAAAGGACAACTTTTTAATGGGTAAGGGGAGGCATTTATTGGTTATTAAGCTGCACCACCTCTGCAAAAAGGAGAAAGAGGAAAAACAACAACAAGCAAAGAGACTGGATTTAGAGGAGGCGTGTGTAGAGAGATCCCTAACAGAGCCCCCAGATCACGGTTCTGTTCCCCAGCGGCTCTTCTCTCAGGCTCCATTTGCATAATGCTAGTCCTGCTGTCAATCAGGAATTGCAGATTGCCTAGCTAGTTAGGTTTCACTCAGGGTCGGGCTTCGCAGCAAAGCTAAGCTTCCCCAGCACTTTGCAGTGCGGCTTTGGCTTTATGCGCGCACACACTTTTTAAAGAGGCAGATACTCAACAGAGCAGAGACAGGAGTGAGCGGAAAACAGGGTCCCCGCCTTACAGCTGCAGCTGTAAATGTGCAACTCATTACAGTTAACTATCACATGGCAGGGAACACACATCTCCAGTGGTGCATCTTAAGGACAATCTTCAGTCAAGATTCTGGTTGTCCTTCTAATGACCTTCAAATGAGCTAGGCTAAGAAAGCACCATTGTATCCAAGCAGGAAGGAGCTAGGATTGATGCAAGACATGAAGGATGCTAGCTTGGGAAACGGTGCTTTAATACTCTTGTGATAAGAAATCCAATCATTCTGTCAACTTACCAGCTCGCAATGTAACAAGAGCAGTGTTAAGAATTCGTCAATTTATTATCACATAACAGTCACTGATCACAGTTCTACTTTATGTATGGAGCAAAGTCCTGGGGAGTATTGTGCTTACACATCACTTCAAACTATTTTTGTAACCCTTCAGGAATATGGGAATCAAATTAAACCTCAGGTCCATCTTTCCTTTTATCTCCAAATCACAAAATATTCCCTGCTTCTCAGGGAAGTTATATAAAGACAGGAACAGGACACCCCTGATGACCTTAAAAACAGGCAACTTACTCCAGGTCATTAAAGTCATTACTCTACCTAATTGGTTGTTGTAACAAACAGACAAAAGTTATAGCTTTCTATAAGAAAAGCATTCACTAGGATCTCACAACATAAGTCATAGTTTTTAATCATAGTTTACCAAGTCATGGCTGGCTTGATTCCTCTAATCAATATTTTATATGATAATGTTTATATTATAATATTCAAATATTTATATTTTTTATATTTATTTTTTATTTTCAAATTCCTGATCAAAAGACTACATTCACACAACATACAATATTGTGTGAAAACCAAATAAGTTATATTATAGCTTAATTGAGGTTGAACATAAAATCTTCCGGTGGTTAATGGAATACAATAAATTGCCTGCCTCTTCTCAGTTTTTTTTAATACTTCATGATCAAACACAAGTCACATGGCAAGTAACATGAAATAGCATTTTTCTCCCATAACAGATCTGAGAAACGGTCTGGAAAAGTCAGAAATCTGCTCACTGAAAGATATATTATCCAAATATAGGTTTTAGAATAATTTTCTAACCGATCGATGTTATTTTTTTTGTTTTTTGTTTTAAATTTAAGGACTATACATAGAAAATATTTCTTGGAATGCTCTAGCTTGAATCAAGGTCTAAAAATATCTAACACACCACAACTTTAGATGTAGTTTTATTTATATCAAGGGTGACTAATTTACACAGATATTTAAAAATCATTAATAGCCAGAGTCATCTTTATGGAAAGATCTTCCCTTCATTTTATCATTATGAAATGTTATTGCTCTTTTACAAGGAATATTATTTTTACTTACATTCAAGCAAATAAAAGCAAAATCTTAAAACACATTTCTAAAAATGTGAAAACAACTGAATAATAACTAGATATTTTGGACAAGTTCCAGCTATAAAGGAGAGCAGCCCATTTCCCATTTATTAATGTCCTGGCTCTGTTGAGCATGTGCTTCTTTAAAAATATTAGAAAACTCTTTTATTCACTTATTATTATTACTGCCCATGAATTATTATTCATGGGTAGCAGTAACAGATATATTTACATTTTATTAGAGTCCACTATCATGTTGCATAACACAGCACTTATCAGAAACTCTTTAAAACTGCTACACCTTCTCCTAGAAACATGTGACTGCCTTCCACAACTGCCGCACAAGTCTAGGAAAATATGCAACCAGTTTAGAAAAGTATAATCAAATTATATATTCATGCAGAGCATTAACATATTTCTGAAATATAATTAGAAACATTGAACATAAAGTTCAAGCTCTTATCCAATGACATTAATCTATTACAGACCAAGACAAAGCCTGAGGATCAAATGAGAAAAAGCAAAGGAATGAGATTTAAACTGTTGAGCTCCTCAATATTAGAGTCACACAGGCTGTTGACTTCAGTAGAATATAATTGTACAAATAAAACCTGGACCAATTTAATACCATCATCTTATGTCACTGATGTATTGAAATTATATTATATCATATCACATCATGATGCAAGTCCTAAACTGTTTTGAAGAAAGGTAAAATAATGGAATAATGTTGAATAAACGGCATATGAATGACAATAAACAAGGTATGTCTGTTAGGATATTCCATCCTTGCAATTTTTATTATTGAAGTACCTTTTGTACTGCATATGAAGGAAAAACTTTACATTATGGTAGTTATTGTTAGCTCCAACCAGTCTAATCATTTATGTTATGATTGTTGTTTGTTGTTGTTTTAACTTTCTAAGATAAGATTGAGTTATGCTCATCAGAATGAAACAAGTTGAATTCTGTGTAAGATTTCATAAGTAAAACTCTTGCCACCAAAATAGTGATTGACAAATACTGACATTTAAAGATCACAAAAGCAAATTTGAAATTCAGCAGATGAACACAGACTCAAAGCTTGGTTGATATCACTTCATAAACAAAGAACCAAGCTGTTGAAAACATGCCTATGGTCAGGAGCGCTTGTGAGATGTGGAAACACAGCCAGATTCATCGGACTAGTATATCTGCTCATTGTTTCAAGCGCCATTGCTGCATTGGTGGTGATTCCAATGAACAGAAATATTAAAACAAGGGAAATCAGCAAATAGATCTCACCAATCAAATGCCTCCTTTAAAGAACAAGGTCTCTAAAGCAATTCTTACAGCAAACACAGAAGATAGAACAATTCTGAATGACAGTGCAAACAGCAAACCAGGAAGAACCAATTTCATATTTAGGAAAAAGCATCCATGCTATCATAATACAAAATAAAAAATATTTTCTCTGTATCATAGATACTGGAGGAAAATAATCTTGTTATTTTTTTTCAATTGATGTCTCTTTTCCTCCTCCAAAGTAAAGATCTTGCTTCTTGTCTATAAAACACTGCAATATAGTTTCCCAAATCTAACAATTTACCCTAGCTGTGCAGCCTCTAATGCATACATAAAACCCTGTAGATTAAATGCTTGAATAATCCTTTAATAGTATGATGAAGAACTGGGATGTATGAAATGTTTTACAATTCAGACAACGCAAAGCACATCCATTCATAAGTAAATCTGATTGTTTTTAATCAAGTGAAATCCCTTCAGTGTAGAACCCCAATTAAGGGTTACTTAACTAAGGATATTCACCAGGAATGCTTCAATTAAGGCTCACCAACATCACACAGACACTGTCAACTACTTCCAGGCAATCACAAATTCAGTGTGATCATTGGCTGACATAACGTCTATTTGCATACTGTATGTATTTAGGCTTTATTCAGATAACATGGAAGTAATGCTTACTGAAAAGGGACGGGAGGGTGTTACCCAGAAAATTCAATTGTCAAGTCTTTTAGATCCTGAATATCTGAGCAGGGCTTAAGTGACTGAAGGCTTGCAGGCTTCAGTAAACTAAATGCCTGAGTTTGAAAAGTAGCTCTTATTTTATATTCCTAATAAATAAATCCATCACAGGAGAAATCTGAGCTGTAGTCTAATGATAAAAGACATTCCTGGAAGAATTATATGAAACAAAATTAATACTAATGAGGAAACATCCACTTGGGGCGCTGGAAAAGTATTTTAAAAGTGAATGAATCTTGACATATAACTAGTTGTAGGTTGTTCCAGCTTTATAACTAGCTTTCAGGTTTATAGCTTTTCCAGGATGTTGCTGGGCTGCCCAGTCTTAGTTGAACTAAGAAAACATTAGAAAGAGGTAGGTGAAGGATTTTCTTGTTCCCCTTCCCATATGCATCATGATGATAGCCCAACAATCAAATGGAGGCTGCAATTGAATAATAAGCTACATCAATGACATGGATTCCGAATCATAATCTTCTTTTGCAATGAGAAATACTATCTCTTGGTCATAATATGAATTGTGCATTCTCTATTATAGCACCGTTTTTGACCCATCATACATACATACATACATACATACATACATACATACATACATACATACATACATAAATGCAGGAAAAATAATATGTATATGTATGTATTTATGTATGTATGTATATGTATGTGTTTGTGTGTATGTATGTGTATGTGTACACGTACACACACATGTACACACACACACACACACACACACACACACACAGGTCTTTTCCCGTGTAAGATTGAGATTGTCTTGGCAACGTTTCGGCGAGCTCCCACTTGCGATCTTCAGGCTGGTGTTTTGGACTTAAAGCGTCGCCGGAGCTGCCGTCTTTCTATAAATCTATAATTATTTTATATAAAATTTATATACACACACACACATTCTATACACACACACATACACATATATAGGGCAGTGTGTGTGATTTTGGATGCTGCTTGCATCCCATGCATGGGGCTTCACTTGTTTGTGCAGACTGGTTGCTGGCATGCTGCGGACCGGTGCCGATTCACAGACCGGGGGTTGGGAACCCTACTCTATATTTATTTTCTTATCTTTTCAATAGACCAAAAGCACTTGTCTTTCCCTTTCCCTAAATGGCCGAGATCTTGCACATAAAATGAAAAAAAAATGGATGGCTTTGCAAAGGGGAAGCATTCTGACCACCTCATGATGGCATTTGAAGCCAGAACATTTTGCTGATGCTTTTAATACAAAGATTGCATATATCACAATAACAATACTCGAACAATTCTTACCATCTCCCAAATTACTGATATCTCTATTAACCCATATTCTGTTTCAGTAGCAAACATTCTTGTATCCTCAGCAAATTTGGAGGCATCTGGTACTTGTAGTAAGAAAATATTGATATATACAACCCCACATACTGTATATATAATTTTATCCCCCAGTCCTGCTGATATTTTAGAGACAGCAACTATTTGTTTGTATATAAGTATAGCATAAGTAAATTTACCTTATTCTGAAGAGTGAAAACCTTGTCGTCACAACTGAAACACAGCTGTCCTGAAGTCAATGTTGCTCAGTTTTTACAGCTTTGTTTCAGAAGATATTTCATAAGCTATTCCGCTTTACATGAAAGTATGCATATTCCTACCTATTGTTGTTCTGCATAGTGATTTGATTCCAGTTTTCAAATGCCCAATCACTGTATTTTTGTTTTCACAGGGCAATTCTTCTTCCTTAGATTTTACAGCTACAGAAGAATGAAAGCCAGAAGTTGTAGAACAAATGTTTACAGAAGTTGACCTACACAATTGTCTCTCGCACACCTGTAAGACAGAATATGGTTTAGGTTTAGGTTTATTCGATTTATATGCCGCCCTTCTCCCAAGGACTCAAGGCGGCGTACAACATTAAAAGAAACACATAATACAAACGTTAAAAAAAATTAAATAGAATATCCCAAACCCGATTAAAATTGACAATAACATTTTTTAAAATGTTTTTTAAAAAGAATTAAAATTAAAATTAACAGTAATCAATAATTTGTTTTGTTTTGTTCAGGCCAGGCTGGCTTGCTGGAAAAGCCAACTTTTTAGGGCGCATCGGAAGGACCGGAGGTCGGGGATTATACGAAGCTCAGGGGGCAGCTCATTCCAGAGGGAAGGCGCTCCCACAGAGAAGGCTCTCCCCCTGGAGATATGTATCTATCATGGAATATTCATGCAACAACTTCAAAATAAATATGTGCCTCTCCTGCCTGAAGACTCTGAAATATCAAAGCCATGTCCTTTAAGAGTACATCCACAAAGGGAAGAGAACCTCATATGAAGACACACCAATTTAAATAAATATAAAAATAAAAATAAAATATAGGAAGATCTCTGGAAACAGTTCTTGATACTGAACAGATGAACAGCAAATCCAAATTAACAGATCTTATTTGCAGTTCCTCAAGAGGCTCAGTTGTGATATAATTAGTGCAACAAACAAAAAAGGAAGAGACTCTCTTGAGCTGAAGACAGTTCTCTGTGACACATAAGCTAATACATGCAGGTTCTTGGCAGCAATATGGAGTGTGATACAAGAAATAAGAAGTGTTTCTTTCTAGAGTTCTATTCGGGTGTCTAATTTCAATGGATGATCTATTTACAATTGGGAAATCTGGACAAAATGACTAGTATATGATTTATTACTCCCTAAGCGCTTCTCTTTTTTGTACATTTCCCATTTTATTTACCCTCCCCCTCCCCAAAAAATCATTACATGAGAAGTCTGCACAGTAAAAAAAATTAGAAGTTATGCCTCCAAATTCTGGATAGCAAGTGATATCAAAGGGGATGATGCTAGGACCCATTTTTGTAGTCTTCCACAATATATCCTGATTAAATAGAGAAACAGAATGTCTGAGGAATGTGTAAGAATGCAAATGAATTCATGATTGAGGAAATACCATAGGATTGGGTAATTTGTATATCTGTCCTTTGAAAGAGCATATGAACTAAATTGGTTTTTGTTAAGTAAAAATGCTAATTCTTTTTTTGTTGAAGACCATATTGGAGTTTTGTTGCCTAAACTCCAAATACAAGGGCAAATTTCTGATAGGTCAGGATATTTCAGAGATGGCTACCTGTGGTGATTAAGCAATATGTGTAAACTGCATGATGATTTACACAATCTCCAAACCAAACAAAATGTTGTATAATAAAAAGATATACATGCTCCTGATATCTAATATTCAGTTTGAAGAAACTTTTTTTGCATGAAAAAGAATTTGAGTTTCTATGAATTGTTCACATTAATAATGTTAATGTCTTTGTGGTCTTCCTCTCTTTTAATATTACCTCATCTGTTTTCATTTCTGGATCTACATATTCAAATGTTTTCTGCAGGATTTTTCCTGGCGGTATAAATCTTGGCTTTTTGGCTGACTGTCCCAACAGTTGACTTGGAGCAGCTGATCGTCTCATCTTTGGCTCTGTTGATTTGAAAAAATAGCAATCAGGGAGCGTGAAGCACCCTAAGGACCCAAATACCACATACAATCCAGGAACCTAATTCAGAAATCAGAATGGCAGCATTCCTGACATAGCACCATTCAGGTTCTACCTATGTCTCTAATAGAAGAAAGTTCACCACTTCCTGAAACAGATTCTTACACAAATACAACTCTCATTAAGCTGGTTCTACTAAGGGTAACCAAGCGTAGGCAAATCTCTTTATATAATATAGGTGTCTACCTACATTACATCTAGACATTAAAGTAAAAAGCTGAGGAATTAAGAAGTATCACTCCCCTCCCTCCTTCTCTAGTGACTATATTATATTTTCTGAGGTAAGTGCTGAGGAAGAAAGGACTTTTTCCTCATATCCTTTAGGAATTCCAAGGAAAATCATGTCAGGAACCAGGTTGATTTGGGTTGTTTTTTTCATCATATGATTTGGTCTCTTCACTCTATTTATATGTTACTTATTGCCAATTTCATTACAGTTATTACTGTTAATCATTCTTGACATGTGTATCCAGCAGGGTTGGGGTGCAAGTACTGCAATAAAATATGCATTGCAATGTAAGTCTTAAAGCGGCACCATCAACCTGGCATTTATTTGAAAAAAGCTCGGCCCAATATGCTTAACAATGCTATTTTTTTAACAATAATGCACCTCCGGGTACCTGCAATCATGATTATGCCATCAGAGCAACATTTCCCAATGCCCATTCCCTACCTTTTATTGTGTTCAATAAAAAAATCGGAGGACCTCATTCTTTTATTATTTTAATGTTAATAACAGATGAAAGTGCCTTAATAAGGTAGATCTAAGAGCCAAAGGCTTCTGAGAACATGCTTTTCAAACGAAGTTTCAAAAGTGCAAATAAGAAAAAGGAATACAAACTGATACCGTAATACGCACCGAATATCCCATATCGCAAGCTCCTGAGGACGAGGGACCTATAGTAGCTCCTTCATCCCTAACGTTGCCCGCTTTCTAACACACCCAAAGCAAACCTAGACTTACACAGCAGTTAAATCGTCCCGCCATATAACTTACGCTTTCCTTTCCACAACTACGTAGTCACTTGTTCAACAGCGCATGCGTACACAGCATAAGTCTCCGTTCTGTAGTGCTCCCAGGCACTGTCTAGGCCTATTGCGCATGCGCACAATCTCAGCCGGTTATTTGCCGGCCTATCACAATTCCACCGCTAGGGCAAGGGAATCTGCACTGCGCATGCCCTGTTACCGCCTTTTATTTCGCCCATACTGTTTGTGTCAATCATTGAGCATACTATCAGAACAATGTCTGTTTACTATTTATGTACTTTTATAGAAATTGCTGGAGCTATGCATAAAAATAAAATAAGAGAGAGAATACAGAAATGTTTATTATTTACATAACAATATAGAGTTATGCATTTGAAGAGAGCATTGGGAGGGGAATCTTCTTAGTATCTTTTTCATGTTCATTTTCTTGAATGGATTTCAAGGCACGTCTATCATCAGGCTTCAGCAAGTCCTTTCAGAATGAAATTCGAATTTCAAGCCTTTTCTCCTCCCCCGACCCGTGTGGGTGTCAGTTTTGAGACCTGCGTTCAGGTATCCACGTTCATAAAGCTTAAAATTGGATGAATGTAGGCTGCTTATTGAGTCTTAGCCCAACCTACCTCACAGGCTGGTTGCTGTAAGAACAAAATAAAGAGGTGCACCCATCCCACCGCACTCCCACTATCTACGACCGACTGGAAAATAAATGGAGAATTAAAGAAAACGGCCTGCAATACTTTAGTGCAGTGGTCTTCAAACTTGGCAACTTTAAGACTTGTGGACTTCAACTCCCAGAATTCTCCAGCCAGTTATGCTATCCTGGCTGGAGCTATGCTCCATAAACTATGCTGGCTGGAGAATTCTGGAAGTTGAAGTCCACACGTCTTAAAGTTGCCAAGTTTCGGGACCCCTGCTGTAGTGCCTCCGGGTTCTCAAAAATCTAACTCATAACAGATTAACAGAGTTGGAAGGGACTTTATAGGTCATCGAGTCCAACCCCCCTCCACCGCTCAAGCAGGAGACCCCACACCATTTAATCCCAGTTAATTCCGTTAGTCTGCTATTTCAGCGAAGGAAACTCAGAAGTCAACGGCCTGCGCGACTCTATACTTTGCACTCTATATTCTGGCGTATCTGGGCCAATGAGATGCAGTATATATAGAGGCCGGTAGGATCTTCGTCCGCGTTTCTTTTGTTGGCTGCGGAGCGAGGGATACGTGGTAGACTCGGGAGTTGGACCTGGCTTGAAGGGGTGAGACGCGCAATAGATGGGGCGGACGGTGGTGGGCAGCCTTGCCCAGGGAACGGCAGGAGAAGCTGGTTATATATACATAGAGGAATTCCTGGAATATATGGCTTTTAATATATATATAGGTTTAAAGATAGTTTCTATCCTTGGGCTGTCAGACTTTTAAATACAACCACAATCACTCCATGCACATGCTAGTTTTTTCTTTTTTTTTCTTTCTTTTTTCGTTTCTGCTATAATTTTGCACTAGTGAGGTTAAAACCAATTTCATTGTATTTAAGTACAATGACAATAAATATACTTATATAGTAAAGGGGAAAAGCAAATTTATAAAAGTTGACTTAGTTAGCTAACTAGTTTACTTTGTCATTGCACCTCGTACACTGTATCTTCAGTGTACATTATAACTATAAAACTATATAACTATTAAAATAAAATACAAACACACATCCTTTATGTTGACAAATGGGTGGCAAATATAAACGAATTTTACAATTGAAGAGGTGGTTTATGGTACAGGTAGACTCTGGCTTACAATAGTTCACCTAGTGACGCTTCAAAGTTACAACTTTACTGAAAAAAAGTGACTTATGACCGATTTTCACACTTAATGACCATTGCTGCATTCTCATGGTCAACGTTATCAAAATTTGGATGCTGGGCAACCGGCCAGCCAGATTCACTTAACAGTTCTGTTACTAATTTAACAACTGTAGGGATTCACTCAACCACTGTGGTTGGACAGATCGTAAAATGGTGTAAAATTCACTTAACTGTCTCACTTAGCAACAGAGGCATTGGGTTCAGTTGTGGTCATAAATTGAGGACCAGCTGTATAAGCTTTCATGCCTTAGAGCAGTGTTTTTCAAACTTGCATTAGTAAGTCACTTTAAGATGTGTGGAGTTCAACTCTCAGAATTTCCTTATGGAAAAATAGGTGTGCATAAAATTAATAAATTCCCCCAGACAGCCCCATACAGAGGTGTGGAGTAAGGCTCTGTTGCAGCCAAATCCATCAGGGGCTTGTGTTGCTCTTTTAAGATGCAGTGATATCACGAGACTGATTATTTTTAAGCTAGATTGCATTTTCATGGCTATGTGTCTATGTTCTTGAGAATTTCTTTTTCTTATGTTTTTCTTTTTCATCAACAGATACAAAATATTTGAGGGTTATATTTCTGCATTTAGTTCAGTGGTACCTAATCCATAAAAGCACATCTATTGATCTATAATAATGACCAAAGTTTCATTTTTAATGACACTGATGGATTTTAGATATTTTCTGTAACTATAAATAGTGAACTTTTCAGAGACAAACTACTTCCAGCAGTTCCATTTTTCATTCATTTATCCTATTCCAGGAGCCTTACAATTGTGTTAAGAACTCCCAATATTCCGGCCAGGGTTTCTGCCTGAACTGAAATTGTGACCACAAAACATCTGGAGGTTATAAGGTTCAGGTAAGCTCTATTACTTTTTGCCCTCTGTGTGTGGCTTGTATAGAGCTCATGTTTGCAAACAGAAATAAGGTATCGCCTGAAAAAAGAGATTGCTATATGCCACTCATACAATTACTAGCTATACGCCTTGGTGCTGCTTTTATGATCCAGGTGGTCAAGACAAGGCAGGCCTTTAGAAAGTCATTTATTGTCCTCACGAAGTGTTCAACAAATGATCCTCCAATCACCATTAAGGCTCCACCTACATTACCCTGAAGGCAGCCACCATCAGTCCTCAAAACAACCCATATATTACCAGGAAAGTTCACAAGCCAAAGTCCCGGCATAAGACAAATGGCAGTCCTCAGGACAATGACAAGGTACGAGGCAAAGGCAGTTCTGAAGGTGAAGTCCACAGGGCTAGGATAAGACAAAAAGCAATCCTCAAAGCAAGGCAGAAAGGCAGGTAGGAGTCAAAGCCAGGGGAGTGTAACCCAAAACAAAGATTTGTTCCTGGCAAAGACTAATTCCCCATGGCTTCACCTTAAGTTACTTCATCCCAGGTGTTCCTTGTGTGGAAGAATGGGGCAACCTCCTCCTAAGTAGCCTTGCAGTCCTTCTCTGGGCTTGCCTACTGTCAGCTCTCCTTGCCCTTGGATTAGTGGGTGAGACAGTTGTTCCACATTTGCTGCCTATCAACAGCTAGTTCTCTCGGGTATATGCAGGCAGGCAGCTCTCCATCTGGTTGACCACCTTCCTCAATGCCTGAGGAGCCCGGGACAGCATCGTCCTCAGCCCCTGGCCTCTCCAAACATGCCACAGGAGATGTTCCATCCCTGTCAGATGGTCTCAGTTCTTCCTTCTCCGAACCAGGCTCTGAAGGGTCCATGACAGCTGTCCCAAAATCTGCCATTAGCAAACATGCTATTAATAAATCTTCAGTATGGCCTCAACTGTGCTTTTATGTCAATATCTTTGTCAAGCAGTAAATAGAAAATGTGGGGGAGGGGGAGTCGAGATATGATAAAGCAGCTGCTGAGCTCTCCAATACCTTTATATTTGTTTAGGATAAACCATACAGAAAATTAGAAACATTCTGAAACATTGCCCATCATAGGGCTTCGTTGAGAGATATTTTAATATTTGCAACCCAAAACCCATTTTACATTCCAGACTGTCTTTTACAGCTGCCCACCACAACAAAATATACTGTATTTTTCGGAGTATAAGACGCACCAAGGTTTTGAAGAGGCAAATTTTTAAAAAAAGTTTTTGCACTCTGCAGACCTCCCCAAAACAGCATAAGACCTCCCCAAAATGGCATTCAGTTGAGTTTATTTCAGTTGAGTTTATTTC